GGACCTTTAGAACAACCCTCATATGTAGTCTGCTGAGGCTGCTAAGGCCTGTTAGGCTTCGGCACGTGCTGTTCGCCCGGCGGGCTGAAATGGGAATGCGAAGGGCCAAACTTCACTGTAAACTCAAGATTACAGTAAAGGGTACGAACAGCAAAGGCCACTCAACGCAGAAACAGAGCCGAAGGCAGCACCGAAGACGAGCGCTCTTTCTTTTCTCCCACGGGCACGGAGAGCGCTTCAACTATGGACCGGCACGCATCGCCGAGACCCCCATCCTTGGATGATGTAGAAAGAGAATGAGTATGAGGTTAGTCTGGGCTTCTGCAACACCGATTTCTGAAACAGCGCCATGAAGTTGGGCTTTCGGGAAACAAAGCTTGGAGGCATGGAAGCTGTGGGTCACTCCAAGCTGCTGGGCCGTGTTGAGCGGACCCGGGCGAATCTTCTTCCAGAGGTCATTCGGGCGATAGCCCTCAGGAGCTCACCACGATCTCTCAAAGTCTTGCAACACATGCCACGCACGATTGGTTGTCTAATCGACATGCCTTGAGGACATTAGGGAGGTGCGGAGCCCAAAAACATGCCCAACGCCTGCTCCGCGTTTCAGCTTTGGAGTATAGTCCGAGGCCCGGCCCAGAAAACATGATCGATTGATTCGTCTTCGTCGGCCACATAAAGGCAAAACACGCTACAAGCTGGAGGCTCTTCCGCCGATCGTGGCCAACCCGAAGATGCTGCGGCCCAAGCAAGCCGACACCTCCATCAGCTCAACCCCGAAACGGAGCCTCTGCTCGTCCTTTAAAGTTGAACACTCCAAGCCCGAAACCCCGAAAGCAACCTTCAACCCCCCCAGAGCTCTTCCGGGATCTCAAGAAGAAGAACTCAATTCGGCCTCGGGGATCAGGCGATCCAGGTAGGCAGGGCCTTCCTCGTCTCGGGCTTTGTTGCTTGAAGGCTGCGGGCTTGGGCTTCAATTTCGGGTTTAGGGTTTAGGGTTTAGGGTTTAGGGTTTAGGGTTTAGGGTTTAGGGTTTAGGGTTTAGGGTTTAGGGTTCAGGGAATGTCTTCTTTGAAGGCTCTCCGAAGACCGGGAAAGCTCCTGCGAAGGCACAATGCCCCTAAGAGCCCGAAATGAGAACCCTAACCGCTAACCCCCCCCGAAGAACCCGAAACCCGAAACCCTAAGAGGCCTCAACCCCCTAAAACCCCGAAGCTTTGAGAACTGGAAGGGCTCCTCCAGGGCTTTGGGCCGGCAGTGGCGCAGCCAGCAGTAGAAGGCGGTGATAAGGCCACCGACCACCAGCACGAAGATCAAGACGTTCTTCAAGCCGTACTTCAGCCTCGGCGTATGGTAGATTTTGGCTACGTCGCAGAAGCGGACGATGGTGTGTCTCGGATTCCATGAAGACTCCGTTTTGCATCGGGACTTGTGCATTTGCCTGAATGTCCGTGAAGACTCCTAAACCCTAAACCCTAAACCCCTCATAACGTGAACCTCTTGTCATGTCAGCCTCTATCAACGTCAGAGCCATCTAACCCAAAACTAGGCACAGCCGACTCCTTCTCGCCTGATATATGATAGCATACTATGGTATATTATAGTATATGCGTTCCAGCACCACCAGTACTGCACTCACTGCGACTGCGGCGACCATCATTTCCGTCGGTTGGTGCTTGTTCCTAGATATTGCTTGAATGGTTGTTGCCATCATTTGCCGTCGTTGCCGCTACCGTCATTCGTTCTTTCAACATTCTCTTCCTCAAACCTTTAAAAACCCCAAGTTCCGAAAGCAACGCCTCTGAGATCACTCACTAACCTCACGAACCCTGAATCGACATCTCAGTCTCTCAAAACTGAAGCCCCCAACGCGCAGATCCCAAACCCACAACACCGTGGTTACGTCACAACATCACCGAAGATCCGGAAATGGAGGGGGATGGTTCAGGGCGCAGGGTCAGGGAGGCGCTCAGCTTCAGTTTCAAGTTGAACTTTCGCGAGTTGGGTTCTGAAAGCTGGCCTGCCGAAGTCTTAAGTGTCTCGGGTTTCAGGTATTGAAACTTGCGGGTCTGGGGCTGGGCTTTCCGAGCCACTGGGCTTCGGGACTACCCTGAGCCAAGCTATGGGTTTAGGGTTTAGGGTTTAGGGTTTAGGGTTTAGGGTTTGGACGGGGGGCTGGTACTTGATGAGGAGGACGAGCAGCAGAACTGCATCCGCAGCTCCCCACACCTTGGAAGCTCTCACCGCATGCGTCTGAGAGCACTAGGTACCCAGAGACTCCAATATCCCTTAAGTAAGGAATATACCTTAAATCATATTAAGGATCCTACTATAACTTAAGTTATATACCTTGATTAAGGGATATTGGAGTCTCTGGGTACCATGAACAGAACCGAAGTCCGAATTTTCCTAGAGGCCGGAGCCCTTTGTTCCGTCTCCTGCACCGAAGATCTCTGAGGCCCTGACCAGGAGGCAATACCAGGCACGGGAGTCGCTCTCCTTCGGGGATGCTCGGATTGAGGGTTTCGGCGCTCACACTCGGACACTCCAGGCGAGGCATGGGATAGGGTTTGGGGTTTAGGATTCAGAAACAGGGGTTCAAGATGTTTCAAAGCCAAGACAGTCTTCTATAGGTCCCGGGGCAGGGAGCAGTGCAGCAGAGATGCGTGGATCCTTCCACAGCACACTCAGTTGTTGCAATGAAGTGGCTTGCCATCTACTCCTCCTGCTACTCCTATTACGGCTGCTGCTGCCACCGCTGCCATTACGAGTGTCATTGCCAGTGTTCTTTTTGCTGCTTTCCTAGAACTACTATTGTTGCCATGGGTCATATTGTTGCGGCTGCTGCTGTTTATGCCGTGACGCGGCGCGATACTATTGCTATCAATGCAAACACGAGCGTTTGCGCAGCAATCTTCTTCCGACTGTGATTGTTATTGTGAAATGATCGTTGGTGTGGTCATTACTGCCAAGACTACAATATCGCTGGTCTACCACTTCTGGATTCGGAAAAAGTCTTGGCTGAGGCGGTTCCTGTGGATCCTCTCGTCATCAACCAGTCTTTGACCCCAAACTTCAGGCCTCCCTCCCTATATCCCGGACCCGGAATTCAACTGTCGCAACCAACCAGAGCCCCAAAAATGTCCAGGCATGCCCAAACTCCCGAAGCTCTCAAACCCTCAGCCCTAAACCAGCCTAGACCTTAAACCTGAATAACCCCCGACGTGTAGCTCTCTTGAGCCTTCTTACGGACCACGGCTTTCTGCAGTTGACCTTTGGCCTCATCTGACCTGGCTTTGTTCTTTTTTGCCATTTGTTTTGTGTAAGGCTCGGACTCACGCTTGAACTCTGCAGGGTTGCGGCGCTGGGATTGGGATTGCTTATGATTTCAGGGCTTCCTTGGTTAGGTGAAACCTTGGTCCAGCGTTCAGGGCTTACGGTCTCACAACTCGTCACAACTCGGACAATCCAGGCGAGGTCTCTCGGTTCGCAGTCACACAACAGGAGCAAATGTGTTGTTTTTGAGGGCCCTTGTCCTTCCGGTTTCGGAGCCAGGGTTTCGACTCCCGCACCAAGGCAGGCAAAGCTTCACGATGACCAAGGGCTTGCTGACGCTCACACTGGGACTGTGCCAGGCATGGTCTGAAGACGATACAAGCGAGTTGCAGGGTTTAGAGCTCAGCGAAACGGCACATGCCTTGAGAATCCAAGCAAGCTCTCCTGCTATTGGCCACGATGTTGCTCTTGCGGTTGTTGCCATCCTATTCGTACTGCCGCAGCACTGCATGTTCAGTCCTTGACTCTCCTTGCCGGGTGCAACAGCAATCCCAGAGTGGAGCTTCGGGCGTGGTACACTCCTTTACAGCTTTGCAGCCGTAGGGCCTTCAATCTCACAAGTTTTAGGCTAAGGAGACAGCCGTTCCGGGCTTAAGGCGGGATTGACAGACTTCAAGTTTCGGGAACCACTTCTTTTGCCAAGGGAACTTCAACACCTACACGCCCCCCAAACAGGAGGCCTCTGGAAAATCTTCTCTGCGTTGCAGTCTATTCGGTCCAGGATGGTACCCTGGTCAATGACCAAAACCGCCAGGTCCTGGTTACCGTTCGGCGTCGCCAAGGCCATGACTTCAGAACCCTAAAGCCAGCAAACTTGAAACCTTATTTTCACAGCGAGGGTTTTGGGTGTAGGTCTGCCTGGGACGGTCCGAAAACCTTGCGACACCGACACTTCATGGAGTACTGCAGCTGTAGCATGCCTGAGGGGACGGTGCTCAATACCGTTGAGGATTCTCTTGTTAAGGGCGGATTTTGAAAGAAGGCTCGGTTTTTTAAGGAACCACAGTCCTTGAATGGTTCGGCGTTGACGCTGCTAGGTACAAGTGACAGATGACAGGACAACCTCGCACGCACGGCCAAAGCCCTCCAGAAAGAGCAAACATGCAGCCCGGCCCACAACACCCCGGCATAGAAACACACAAAGCTGCTGGGTTGGCCACTCACAACCCTCAGTCGGCTGCTGATTCGGACCTCAGACCAGACAGTTTTTTGTATAAGGCCTTCGTAATGTAGGGGCCTTAATAATTAGAATAGGGTTTTGGGGCCCATTATACTATGATTATAGTAAGGAGCCCTACACTTTTGTAGGTAATTAGTAATGCTATTAACGCCCCTACATTACCTCAAGCCCCCGACCCGACGAAGCAACGAAAAGCTCCTTGAAGATCCTGTTCAGCTCCACGACGGAAGAGGCGATCTGGGCGATTTCGCTGCTCCTCGGATGATGATATCCTAAACATCTCGGGCGCGGCTTCAAATTTTGC